CTATGGAAGCTACTGTCTTGTTAATATTGTAATCCAGTACTACAGTACTTTGTAATTCACTTTATTCTCACTTGTTCTTTTGATTTTAGGCATTCTTTTGCAGATTATGGTACAAGGAAATCGTGGGAGGTGTGTTGGCTGTGTCGATGGACGATTATCGCTACATCAATGGCTATTCAAACATGTATTGGGCTTGGGGAGGAGAAGATGATGACATGGGTTAGTTACTTGGAATGTGCTATACTTGCAGCCATCTTTGTGCGCGATGAACTTTGACTTACAGAGAAGTACCCTTTTCTGGAGTATATGTATAGGGCGCTCCAGGCGTCCCCAGTTGTTCCTTCTCAGTTCATTATTGCTTGTTTTCTTGTTTATTCGTATCCATATCAATGATCTATTTCAACAAGAGGTTTTTGAAAACCGTGTGGGGGAGAAAAATGAAAAACCATGCAAGAAAGATGGGAAGACTGTAGCTGTGTTCACCAAATTTTCACGCGCGCTGCCGCGTGCGACTCTGTTAAATGCGTCCTTCTACTAACAAACAACCATTAAAAAAGTCCGAAAATTTTAACTGAATACTGTCTGGATGTGGGTGGTAGCCCGTAGCGCTTTGGAATGGAACACAGTTCAATTACATGGAAACTTCGTTTAGGAAAACGTATACTTTCGCTAAACTACACAATAGAAAGGCCGCATTCGGAAACTGGACGATATTCGATGTTGAAGCATGTGAAAAGGAAACGAACTGCACCTAAACTCATGTATGGTTTTTTGTTGATGGAATTACTTCGTCACACTTCTGATTTACAGACTCCGTTTTTTTTTGCACTTCCGCTTTACAGATTCCGTTTTCTTATTCGTACACAGTTAGCAAGGCGCATTACCAGTTCTGTATTACAGATATAAGTTGCTCGAAATAGCAGAGAAGCGGGTTGCATATGATGGATTGAATGAGACCGATAAATGGACTGTGCGAAAGGTTAGTGCAGGTGTTAGTCATGTTCTTAATTTGTTTTTGAAATTCTGTTTTTGTTGAATATGTTTCTAAGCTTGTTCAGGCTGCATTCATACTTTGCTTCAGCGTTTTGAGCGTTTCGAGGGACTAGCGAAGTCATCGATCTGGCGTAGGCCAGCGTACAGCAGCGTTTTGGGCGTTTTCGCGAGTGGTCGCCGAATGTAATGGCGTGCGCTAAAAATGCCGACGCAGAGTATGAACGAGTGACGCACAATTCTTAGATACGCTGTATAACGGCGAATTACACGATGTTAGTGGATTTCAAGAGATTGAGAGATAGAGCAGTATTCTCTCTCAGCT